TGTCCCGTTCTGGGTCCCTAGTGTGGAGCTGGCAAACAGGAGAGATCTGGGGGAGGGGAATCAATTGTGAAGGGGAGGGGGGCCTCCCTGCACTGGTTCCTGACATAGCACCCCTGGCTGCCCAGCCCTAGAGATGAGGGGCAGGGGAGGGACAGAAGGGAGGAAGTTGCTCGGGGACCCTGGAATCCAGAGGAGGAAATGGGCAGGTACTCTTGAAACAGGTGTTTTTAAACCTGCAGCTTCCGGCAAAACTGCAGGTGCAACCTCAGAACCAGAAGTCTGTGTCAGAGGTTCCGAACTCATGTCCTGAGACATATTGCAGGCGCAGAGGATGATGGGGGGCTGATACCTCCAAACCATCACTCCTCCACCCTCCTGGGGAAACGATTTCTCTAAGGGCCTAAACCATTTTTCATCACTGTCATCTCCTCAACTCTTTCTTGTCCACTTCCTTCACCTTCAGCAGAGATGTCACCGCTGGCTCAAAGCCTTCCTCTGTACCCCACGTCCTGCCGCCATCAAACTGAGCCACACCAACCCCAGCAGGGCCAACCGCTCCAATGCCCTGGCCTCAGAGCTCTGTCTTCTCAACCCCATTGGCCACCTCCCCTTCTCGCCTCCATTGACTATCTGAGCTCATCTCCTTTGGCCATCTGGTCTTGTCATCTTCATTGACCTTCCTCTCCAACCTGGATCTTGCCATCACCCCCCTGACTGTCCCCTCCTATAATCTTCAGAGACGTTGTCCTCCTCTCAGAGCACAGCTTCCAATGTTCCCAATTCCTTCATTCCCTTACCATCACTACACCCATTTTCCAACCTCATCAAGCCCTTCAGAACCTTGACCTCCCCATTTTCTCCCAATATATTGACCCTTCCTGGTTGCAGGGCCACCCTAACCAGCCCAGACATGTCAAGTCATCATCTAAACCCACCCTTGCCGGTGCCCTCGGTTCCCCTGGCCCCTTCTCCTTCTAGCTTTTTCCTTCTGGAAAAGCCCCAGCTGTCTTTCAACCTCACGGTCCATCTTCTCCATCCCTGCATCTGAGCTACAGGTGACGCCAGAGAAGATCAAGCGAATTGTAAACTGATGCCTGTGCTAGGCAGAAGAGTGGTTCCCAAAATGCCCAAGTTCCAATCCCTGGAACCTGTGACCATGTCACCATACATGGCCAAAGGGAGTTGGCAGGTGTGATTAAGTTAAGGATGTTGAGATGGGGAGATTTTCCTGGGGTATCAATAAAACCACAAGGATTCAGATAACAGAAAGGGAGGCAGGAGAGTCAGAGATGAAGATGCGATGATGAAAGCAGAGGTCAGACGAAGTGGCTTAAAGAGGCTGGCACCTCGTTTTTCTGCAGTACCTGAAGGTCACCCAGCGCCATTTCTCAGCCTCATTAAGCCTGAGCTCAAAATTAGATCAGCACATTGCCAAAAGAGAGTTTATTCGGCCCCCACCCAGCGTGCCCTGGTCCCAACTCTGTATGAGGCCCACCTGTGGGGGATGTTTTCCCTCAACCTTGTTATGTCTGGTCCTTCTTGGGACAAATGAAAACTGGTTCATCTGGGTGAGAAAAACACAGACATCGCCCAATCAGCTTAGTGTGGGAATCTCCTTTGAAGACAGCAGAAAATGCCCTAGCTCAGGAGGCTGCTTCCTTTTGAACTTGATCACAGAGGGGACAACAGTGCCCTCCCGGGGTGTCCCTCAGAGTCTGGAGGCAAATTAGCCATTGGTCCAAGCTGTCCCAAGGTGGCCCTGTGGCCTTGAGCCACAGAGAAATGTCCTTTGGATCGTCTGGTGGAGTGAATTATTTGAACTTCTGGTCTCGTTCTTTCAGTCCATCTGTCCATCCTTCCATCCATCAGTCATTTAACAAACATTTATGAAGATCCCAAACCGGGCTCAGATCAGGTGGGTTCTCTGAGGGACCCAGAATGAGTACCTAAAACAGTCTCACCATCTCTACCCTCCAGAAGCTTATGGCTCATTAGAGAAAGCTGATCCATCTGCAGTTTATAAATAATAACAACAGCCATCTTGGATTGGATGCCGACTGTATTAGTCAGCTCAGACTAAAGACAATACCCTGAATGACCTTAACAACCAAAATTTATTTTCTCACAGCTCTGGAGGCTGGAAGTCCTAGACCAGCATGGTTGTTGGGTCCTAGGAATTCTGCTTCCTGGCTTTCTCCTCCTCACATGGCAGAGAAAAAGAGACGGCAAACTGTTGTTCCTTCTTAAGGGCACTAATCCCATCGTGAGGACCCCACCCTCATGGCCTCATCTAAACCTAATTACCCCCCAGAAGCCCCATCTCCAAATACCATTACACTGGGGTTTGGGCTTCAACATATGAATTGGGGGGAGTGGGGCTTAACTCAGTCCCTGGCACCTACCCTGAGCGAAGCTGATAAATGCATGATCTCTAATTCTGCAGCTCCCAGTCAGCCACTGCCCTCAGGTGAGGGGAGGAGTGCTCAGAGAGGTTGGTGTGTGGCTGGAAGCCACACAGCTGGACGCCAGCGGGACAGGGATCTGACCCAGGGGTTGCCTACTCCATCACTGGCAGGTTGGTTCCCACTCCCTAAGGAGCTGTCCTTCCTGATGCCTGGACAGGGGAGGACCACGTGGAGCAAGCACGTCAAACTCAGAGGCTAACACGGCCACGTGAACGCGGTTGAAGTTTATGTGGGCCGCAAAAAAACAAACGCTCCAATTTTCATAGAAACGTAGGTTTATTTTGAATAGTAAAAAAAAAAAAAAGATAAAATTAATGTTTTCTTCCTGACACTTGGCATCTCTTCTCTGCTACTGTTTTTCCTACTTTGGGGAAATCTTGTTCTCACTGATTACTTTCAAAACTGACCCAATGCCGAAGCCGATTTGGCTCAGTGGATAGAGCATCGGCCTGCGGACTGAAATGTCCCAGGTTCGATTCCAGTCAAGGGCGTGTACCTTGGTTATGGGCACATCCCTAGTAGGGGGTGTGCAGGAGGCAACTGGTCGATGTTTCTCTTTCATCCATGTTTCTAACTCTCTATCCCTCGATCTTCCTCTCTGTAAAAAATTAATAATATATATATTTTTTTTTTTTTCAAAAAAAGAAGGCTTGTAGACTCTTAAAAAACAAACAACCAAACAAACAAAAACTGACCCAAGGTGAAGGTCAGTAATTCTGGATCTGTCAGGAGACTTATTTCCTTTCATAATTGTACGTAACTGCTCACACTGTTGTATTGGCTGGACCACTAAATCATTCCTTGTGGCCCGCATGTGGCCCTCAGCCCTCGAGTTTGACACCCTTGATGTGAAATCAGCCTCATGCTAGGTTTGCACACAGATTGTGTTGAAAGGAAGAGCCATCCACCTTGAATGCATTTGCTGGCTGGGTTGGGGGACTCAGGACCCCTGCTGGGCACAGACCTTCCCCTCTCCCCCAGGGAAGGTGTGAAAATTAACTCAGCAGAGCGCTGAGGATATGGCAAGCTCTCACTGAAACCTGCTCTTGTTAGGATCATCCCTGGGATCAGTGGGATGATCCCTGCATGTTCTCTGCACACAGACAATCTTTCCATTAAGCACGATCAACCTGAGGCCAGGATCTTGAAGCTCAAAGCCCTGCCCAGCTCGGGGTCTCTTCCTGCACTTACATCAGCCTCAGCTGCATCCAGAGAGAGCCACTGGTGACCTGAGGAAGAGGAGGCAGACCCTAGGAGGTGGAGACCTGCTAGGAGGGGGCATGTGGGCAGGCGGGCCTCTCGGAAGCCGGCCCCAGACTTTCCCAAGTCCTTGGCTATATCCACCCACCGTGAGCCTCTTAGCTGTCACCTGTAAATCAACTTACTTCTGTTCTTTTTGACTTACGTATAGCTGTTTTGTAAATAAAAGCATAACCAGGAAAACCTGCATCCCCTGCCATTCATAGAGGTAACACTGAATCATGACAATGAAACAGCCGACGCTCTGTCCTCTGCCAGCCTTTCGTTGATGTGTGAGATCGGGAAGCCGTTACAGACTTGCCCCAGACGGCTGTCTTTTGTTTTCCTTCCGGACCCAGGTGGGAGGATGGGAGAATTGAATAGAAAATAACATTCAGCCAGAACCAGTTTGGCTCAGTGGATAGAGCGTCGGCCTGCGGACTGGAAGGTCCCTGGTTCAATTCCAGTCAAAGGCATGTACCCTGGTTGCGGGCACACCCCCAGTAGGGGTTGTGCAAGAGACAACTTATCGATGTTTCTCTTTCATCCATGTTTCTAACTCTCTATCGCTCTCCCTTCCTCTCTGTAAAAAATCAACAAAATATATTTTTTTAAAAAGAAAGAAAATAATGTTCACACGCTGGGCAGTCCCAGGAACCACCTGAGAGCTCCCTGTCGCTTGAGGATGCTGTGGGGCTTGGGGCTAACGCTCTTGCCTGGGCAGTGGGCTCCAGAAGCCCTGGGCAGGGCATCCCCACAATGTCCCTGGGCATGGCCCTGGGTCCCCCAGACTTACAGGACCAGGACCCACTCGCCCCCCTCCGGAAACAGCTGCCCAGGGTGAGAACAGAAGGCTGAGCCCCCTGAGCCGCAGGGTCTCTGCCCTTGCCCAGCAGCGACCTTCAGCGACGCAGTGTCCCTCACCCTCGCCCACACGGGGAATCCCAAGCAGGCGCTCCGGCAGGTCTCCCGTCGCCACCCAGAGCCTTCTCCCCTGCCCCCTCCCCGGGTATTTCTGGCTCCCAGCCCTGAAACCCGAGAGGAAGCCATCCTGGGTGACGGGGACGCGCCTGTGCGTGTGCATTAATAGAAGCCTCCCTCAGGCCCCTGTCACGTGTGGGCAGCTGCTCAGCCCCAAGGCCAGCCCCCTCCGGCTCGGCCCAGCACACTAAACTTAGCTTCCCCCCCTCGGCACCGTAACTGCCACCGCCGCCACCCCAGCCCGCTGCCACCTGCCCGGGGAGACGCCGCCGGCCACCGGACCCTGCCCGGAGCACCCGCTCCTCCGCGGCCACCATGTCCCAGACCGGAACGCTGAGGGTCCGCCTGACGCTCTTCTGCCTCCTGGTGGGCATCGTGCTGGCCACGGTGGCCGTGGTGACCGACCACTGGGCCGTGCTGAGCCCCGCGGTGGAGCAATACAGCGCCGTCTGCCAGGCGGCCCACTTCGGCCTCTGGCGGATTTGCACCAAGAGCATCATCGTGGGCGGCAGCAAGGAGGGGAGCTGCGGACCCATCACCCTGCCTGGGGGTAACGTACCCGCCCTGGCCCCCCGGCCCTGCCCCCACCACCCCCCCCCCCCGCCTTCTCTGTTCCTTCCGGAAAAGTGGCTCCGGACAGCCCTCTGTGCCCGGGAGAGGGGGTCTGCGCTGCATGAGGCTGTGCTGGCAGCCGTGGCCATGTCTCTCTCCCTATTTCTCTGTCTCGCAAGGCTTGGGGCTTTTCACCCAGAGCAGAGGGCTGGCCATGTGAGGCGAGAGGCTCCGTTTCGAAAGACACCATGGACCTGCCAGGCCGGGGGCTCCTGGCCCCACCAGCGGTCACTCTTCTGGGTGCCCAGCTCCGGGCTCTCCCGGCAAGGAAGCCGGTGGCCCTCGGTGCTCAGGCTGGCGGGCCCTGTGGGAGAGGCAGGATGGGCCACGGAATGTACGGGCCCCGGGCAGCCTGGAAACACAGGCTCCTTGTCGTTGTGTAAGAATTCCAAGGTGGTAACAGCCGAGTGTGTGTGTGTGTGTGTGTGGCAGGGGGGTGGGGCCTTGAGTGATGGCACAGGCTGAGCACCTGTTTGGGAACTGGGACCTGTTGCAGATGAGCTGCCTGCCTTTTCGTGAGAAACACCAGCCCTCCAGCCCATCCTCCCTCAGCTCAGGCCCCTGCAGGGCTGGGAGCACGTCCTGCTGCTGGAATGTCAGTGCATTTCCCATTTCCACCCACGGGGCGCACCCCAGTGAAGGGGAGCTCCGGTAAGGAACACCCACACGGGACCCAGATGACAAGCCTCCCCTGCCATCGTTCAGCCCTCTGCGCCCACACGCCCAGGAAAGAGCCCGCTTGGATTCAGAGGCCACGGCTCTAATCATGCATTACCCATGACCCCCCAACATGACGATTGGCAAGGGGGGCGGGGGAGACAGAGCCCAGCACAGCCTCCGCCTCCTCCCGCCGTGCGTGGGCTCAGCAGCGCACAGTCCCTTCCAGCGCTTCCAAATGTCACCCCCAGGTGGCGCGGACCAGGCTGCGAGGGGCATCCCACTTGGCGCTCAGAATTATTCTGTCAGTGACCGGACTGGGTGTCCACTGACACCTCCCGTTCAAGGGAGCCAGTGCCAAGTCCCCCAGTGTATGTGTGTGTGTTGGAGGGGTGGGGGGAGGGAGAGGAGGGAACAGAGGAGCCCAAACCTTGTTCCTCCCTCTTCCCTCTTTCTCCTTCCTTCCCCGCCCGCTGCCTCCCGTCTTGCTCATTCCCACTGGACACTCGGAAGGTTCATAAATACCCAGCTGTCCTGGACACACGGAGTCCCAGGGCTGAGGGCTTTAAATGGCATGAGCATGTGCTTGGAGGGTATCACATAGCCCCGATGCCCATGCCCCTCGGCCTCTGCTGAGCACGCCTGTAAACAGATGCATCATCCAGCCAACTCCCCCGGGGCAGGGCAGGGCAGGGCAGGGCAGTTCCTCCAGAAACGCGCTGGGATGGTCCTCCCACCTGTGCTGGGAGGCATCTGCCTTTTAAAGCCTGGCGAGTTCGTGGAGTAGGGGAGCAGGGGGTGAACCGAGTCTACACAAGGGAGAGACAGGCTGGCAGCAGGTGGCTGAGCCAGCCCCTGGGGACCAGCAGGCACGGCTTGGCCTTGAACCTGGCCAGCGTCTATTTCAGTGCCTTCTCACTCTGATCCTGAGTGAATCCTACTTGTGAGCTCAGCCTTGCCCCCAACAGGCTGCTGCTGGGTGCTCCTGACTTCCTCCCTCTCCTTTCTCTGCACGTGAGCATCTCTTCATCTCTTCCTCCCCCCGCCCCTCCTGTGCTGTACAGGACCGCTCTTTGCTGGAGGGATGGACAGAGTTCATACATGTCCTTTTTTTTTTTTTTAATCCTCACCTGAAGGGTATTTTCCCACTGATTTTTAGAGAGAGGGAAAGACAGAGAAAAACATCGATGTGAGAGAAACACATCAGTTGGTTGCCACCTGCATGCGCCCCGACTAGGGCCTGAGCCAGGGAGGAGCCTGAAACCAAAGTACATGTGCCCTTGACTGGAAGCGAACCTAAGACCCTTCGGTCCTCAGGCCGACGCTCTATCCACTGAGCCAAACCAGCTAAGGCATACGTGTCCTTATTTATTATTAATAACAGTAATAATAAGAACTGCAAACAAAATAGAGCACTACCTGCCAGACATTTGTTTTAAGTGTTTTACATATTAACTTCGGATGGCATCAGAAAAAAGAAATGACAGAGTTAGAACCTCCAAAAATCCTCCTCTCCATAAAAGCAGTGTGAACATTAGCAAAAACGATCAGAATAAAGTTTTTCGGAACTCTGGAATGTATACTGCTCAGTGGAGTGCTTCACACGCTGCGAAGCACAGAGTCCCTCAGTGAATACTGGGAGATGAAATAGTTCCAACCATTTTAGGAAATCTCCGTGAGCTGACCACCAAACTAACAGAGCAGAGATTTCAGTGGCCACACATGACAAAGAATATAGACTTTACAAAATTAATTCAGAAAGCCACTAAATAAACAACAATAGCAAACAGAAATAGGAACCATCCTTGGGTAAGATAAGAGTCTGATTTCTAGAGTTGCTACATTATATTGTTTCAATTTTCCAGTTTTAAATTTAAATTTTAAAAAATGTCAAGACATGCAAAGAACTAAAAATGCATGGCTTCTACCGGTGGTCAGCAAACTGCGGCTCACGAGCCACATGTGGCTCTTGAGCTGCGGTTTGCCACTCTGTTGACTAATGAGTTTGCCAACCACTGCTAGACTAAATGTTACCGTGTAGTTGGAAGCTGTGAGGATTAGGCAATTGTGGCATATTGTGTGCAAAGAGGTAAAGGGTAGTATATGACAGTGGTCGGCAAACTCATTAGTCAACAGAGCGGCAAACCGCAGCTCGCAAGCTGCATGTGGCTCACAAGCCACCGTTTGCTGACCCTGGCCTATACAATAAGAATGTCAATAATAGATTCTTAAGGAAGCCCCGCTATTGGACTTCTTAAGGAAGCCCAGCTATTGTAGATATATTCCTTGTAGATATATTCCTTAAAGTAGACTTTGTCACCTATTGTAGATATATTCAAGGAATTAGAAGAAACCACTGGCCTTTCTCATGTGCTAAGATAAGAACGATGTCTCATGAAATAGAGAATAAAGATATAAATTATTTTAAAAGGATCTAATAGAAATTCTAGAGTTGAGAAGTATAATAACTGAAATGAAAAAGTTCACCAGACAATTTCCATAGCAGAGCTGAGCAGGGAGAAGAACAAATCCATGGAATTAAAGATAGGTCAACTGAGATTAGCTAGTCTGAGAAACAGACAGGAGAAATAATGAAGAAAAATGAACAGAGCCTGTGAGACAGAATGAAATGTATCAATACACGCCTAAGAGTATTCCCAGAAGGAGAGAGAGGAACAGGAAGTACATATAAAAAATAATGGTTAAGGTTTTTCCAAATTTGATGGATAACATTCATCTAGAAACCCATGAAGCTTAATGAACTCCAAGTAGGATAGATCAAAATCTGGTCATGTCATAATCAAAAGGTAGATAAGATGAAAAATAAAGACAGACTCTTGTGAGAGCAACAAGTGACTCATCACATACAAGGAATTCTAACTAAGAAAAACAGCTACTTCCTCCCCCCCCCAAAAAAAAAATAAATAAATAAATAAATAAACACATGAAGGGCAGGGCAGTGGGATGGCATATATATATTAACTCATCTAATTCTCATAAAATCCTCTATGAGGTCCATGCTATTATCATCATCCCATCTTACAGATGAGGAAAACGAGGCGCAGGGAAGTTGAGTAATTGGACCGAATTCGTACCATTACCACAGCAGCATGCTGGGCAATTCCCGAGTGACAGTGGCAGATGCCTGGCTTGATTGTTCCTAAATGAGCATCTCGTCGCTGCCGGAAGTGTCCAAACAGAGCACTGGGTCTGACACCCCCAACCCGTGCTGGGGCCAGCAGGGCCCACAGAGCAGCCTGTGGTCTCCCATGGGCAGCCATGGGGCCCCGAGCAGATGCCCCTCCCAGGCCTTCCTCACGTGCTGAGCCCAAGAGAGGGGACAGGGTTGGCCTGTCTGTCTTCAAGCCCTAAGTTCAGCCACGTTAGAGAGAAGTTGAGACTTCCCGATGTCCTCAGTGGGAGCCCTACCCACTGGCCCCTCCCCCATGTGTGAGAGCCTATAACTGGGGAGGGGAGGGACAGGAACACTGCACCTGGGCCACTGAGGGGACCGTCCCCCCACCCCCAGAATCCGCAGGCTGGCTTCCCAGACAGGCTGTTCCCCGCCCCTGTGTGGGAGCTAAGAAAGCTTTTGAGCAAGTGCCTGGTGGCAGCAGCGGTTTGTCCAGAATGGAGCCCGGTGTCTATCTCCTGGAGTTGACACCCCGAGCACACCCTGCGCAAGAGGGGCCTCAGCACCCCAGAACTGCGCATAGCTGGGCCTTCATCCCCTCCCCCACCCTCTCCCTGCTCCGAGTGCCGTTAACTCGGGATGGCGAGCTGTCGCAGAAGCAGCTGACTGTGAAATACACTTGAATTCTATCAATGCCTTTCAGAGGGTTTTCAATGATGACCGAAATTGGCCCTCACAGAATGAAACAGAAATGTTCCTTTGTCCAGAGAGAGGCCGGTGGTGACTGAGGACACAGCACAGGCCATTTGGAAGCCGTGGCTGAAGGGAATCCATAGCTAATAATCTAACGAGCATAGGAGGGCTGCATTGTGTTCCAAAACAGCCCCGGAAGCTGTGAGAGAGAAAAGAACGGCTCGGTACTGACATCACCACTTGCCGGTGTCAGACACCCCGGGCCCCTCGGTTCTGAAGGAACGCGATTTAAATATAGAAGCTCAAAGGGAAGGCGTTTACCTCTCAGAACATTCGCTGCTGCTAACGACGCCAGGCTTGGTCTCCAGGGTTCATGTCCTCCCTCCACCGTGGACTTGGGGGAGGACAGAGGAGAGCGAGGCCACAGGCTCCGGGGGCAATGAGGTGATCTAGGCCAGAGAGAAGGAGGCCTGCACCCAAATGAAGGCAGCACCTGGGGCGCGTCTCCAACAGAAAGGAGGCGTCCGTGGCCTTGTGAACATGCAGGGACAGCCTGGCCTGTTTGGCTCCATGAATAAAGCTTCCACCCACGGACTGAAGGGTCCCAGGTTCAATTCCAGTCAAGGGCATGAACCTTGGTTGCAGGCTCAATCCCCAGCTCGGTCGGAGCATGTGCAGGAGGCAGCGATAGATGGGTCTCTCTCACACATGGGTGTTTCTCTCTCTCTCTCCCATCCTCTCAAAATAAAATTAAATAAATAAATAAAAAAGGAAAAATATTCTCGGGTGAGGGAGGGTTAACAGAAAAAAAGAAAATGCACAGACAACCTGAAGGCCAAGAAATGAATGCACAACCCAGAGGCTCTCTAAACAGAGATGCTTGGAAAAAGTAATCACTAAAGGGCCTCACACAAAAAAAGCAACCTAATTTACTTTTCTTAAAGAAACAACCTACTATCAAATAACCCATTCATCTACTTCCTAAGTCAAGAGTACCGTATTTTCCGGCGTATAAGACGACTTTTGAACCGAAAAAAAGCCTGCTCAGATTGGCCAGAGTCAGAGGGGCGGTCTATTAAAAAAAGAACTGGTGTTGCCTCGGAAGTGGGGGGTAGTCTTATACAGCAAATATAGGCCTAAACCTATGTTTTAACTGTAATATATATATATATATATATATATATATATATATATATATATATATATATATTAGGGGGTCGTCTTATACGCCAGAAAATACAGTAAATAATATTAACCTATATTTCAATATGCAATAAAACTATTCTTTCCTTGGATAGTATCTCTATAGGAGAGATGAAAAGGAAAAACGGAGGAGAAATTATGCCTGAAATTATATTTTAAATCGGCATCAATTTCTTTGTTCTGAGAACTTCCTCTTCTCCCATTACTGTCCGCTGATCTCCTTCGGCTTTCCTGACAGTTACCAGGCAGACCAGGAAGCCGGCGGAAAGGTCTGGGCTGTGCTGCCTCCGCAGGCACAGGTGTTGAGGGCCCTGAATGGTTCTCTACCCCTCACCCAAGACCCCCAGGTGGCCCACTCAGAAGGGCACTTATCAGGGCGTTGGAAGGGGCCTGGAACAGGGCTTCCCAATGTGGCTGCTCTTCAGAATCTCCTGGAAGCTTTTGAAAAGCCAGTGAGTCAGGGTGGGCCTGATGCTGAGAAACAGCTCCAGACGTTGGCAGGATCCAAGGGTTCTCACGCTCAGTGCTGCTGGCACGCTAGGGCTGGAGGATTCTGTGATGCAGGCACTGTTCTGTGCACAGGGGTGGTTAGCAGCATCCTGGCCTCTACCCACTAATGCCACCAGCAGCCCTGCCCAGTTGTAACAGCAAAAATGTCTCCAGACATCACCCGAGGTCCCTGGCGCATATAATCGGACGAACCACTGCGTAGCCTTTTGTTGACCGTGTATCCTGTCCCCCCTGGGCCTCAGTTACCCCATCTGCCTAATGGGCTCGGTCCCCACAGAGCTGTCTGCACCTTTGATTCAATCAGCCGTGGCTCCCTGAGGATCTCCCAGCCTCTTATGCAACCCCCTTCACCTGGCGAAACGTTGGCCTTAGGGTCAGAGAACGGGGTTGTCTCGGCCCCGGGGGAGGGTTTGGGGAGAAGACACCCGCGAGAGGTCCCTTCCGCCCACCTGGTGGGATCACACCCACCCTCTCTCAGCCCAGCCTCTGCCTCAGCCCCGGGCCCTTTCCCCTCAGCTCACAGGTGTCTCCTCCTTTGCAGAGAAAAACTGTTCCTACTTCCGGCATTTTAACCCCGGCGAGAGCTCCGAGATCTTCGAGTTCACCACTCAGAAAGGTGAGCCGGTCAGGCCCGGAGCGGGGACAGGGACTGGGTCACACCTGCGGGGGCAGGAGACCCTCTGGGCAGGAGTCCGCCCTCCCAGCCTGCCCCCTGGGTCCCAGCTCCCCTCTGTGCCCCTGGGTCCCAGCTCCCCTCTGTCCCCCTGGGTCCCAGCTCCCCTCTCCCCCTGGGTCCCAGCTCCCCTCTGTCCCCCTGGGTCCCAGCTCCCCTCTGTCCCCCTGGGTCCCAGCTCCCCTCTGTCCCCCCGGGTCCCAGCTCCCCTCTGTCCCCCCGGGTCCCAGCTCCCCTCCTTCCCTCTGGGTCCCAGCTCCCCTCTGTCCCCCTGGGTCCCAGCTCCCCTCTGTCCCCCTGGGTCCCAGCTCCCCTCTGTCCCCCTGGGTCCCAGCTCCCCTCTCCCCCTGGGTCCCAGCTCCCCTCTGTCCCCCCGGGTCCCAGCTCCCCTCTGTCCCCCTGGGTCCCAGCTCCCCTCTGTCCCCCTGGGTTCCAGCTCCCCTCTGTCCCCCTGGGTTCCAGCTCCCCTCTGTCCCCCCGGGTCCCAGCTCCCCTCTGTCCCCCCGGGTCCCAGCTCCCCTCTGTCCCCCTGGGTCCCAGCTCCCCTCGGGCTGGTGGAGGCGGGAGGCGCGGTGCCTGGGCAGGAGCGGGCAATGGAGTGAGCGCTCCCCATCCCCGGGCAGGTTCAGGGCGGGCGGGTCAGAGTCTGTGGGGAGCGGAGTTCCTCCCGTGCCATCGAGCGCTCCCCAAGAATCAGGAGGGCAGGGGCATGGGGAGACGCATCCGAGTCCAGGAGCCCCAGCACGTGTGCCCTGGGGTCTTTCAGAGCCAGGGAGCTCGTATGCACCCCTCTGTCACGGGTACAGACCCATTCCTACACGTGTACGAATGGGCACACGATGTAGGCGTGTACACACACTCACTCTGGCAGTGCCGGTGCAACACCAAATCTTACACCTGTCACACACACACACACACACACACACACACACCACAAATCTTACACCTGTGTCACACACACACACACACACACACACACACACCACAAATCTTACACCTGTGTCACACACACACACACACACCACAAATCTTACACCTGTCACACACACACACACACACACACACACCACAAATCTTACAGCTGTCTCACACACACCCCACACACCACACACACCCCACACACATACACACCACAAATCTTACACCTGTCTCACACACACACACACACACACACCCCACACACACACCACAAATCTTACACCTGTCTCACACACACACACACACACACACCCCACACACATACACACCACAAATCTTACACCTGTCTCACACACACACACACACACACACCCTACACACACACCACAAATCTTACACCTGTCTCACACACACACACACACACACACACACCCCACACACATACACACCACAAATCTTACACCTGTCTCACACACACACACACACCACAGACCACACACATCACTCACACACGCAACACACACACATACACCACATACACACACACACACACCCCACACACATACACACCACAAATCTTACGCCTGTCACACACACACACCCCCACACACACACCCCACACACATACACACCACAAATCTTACGCCTGTCACACACACACCCCCCCACACACACACCCCACACACATACACACCACAAATCTTACACCTGTCTCACACACACACCCCACACACACACACACCCACACACACACACCCACACACACACACAACACAAATCTTACACCTGTCTCACACACACACCCACACCCACACCCGCACACCACACACACCACACACATCACTCACACACGCCATACACACACATACACCACACACACACACCACACACTACACACACTACACACATCACTCACACATGCCACATACACACACGTGTACAAACGGGCACACGTTGCCACCTTCCAGAGGCTGCCGTCAGCCCAGGACAGACCACCCTCGCCAGGCGCCCGCTGCTCTCCGCCCTGTCCCTCAGAGGAAGTTCCTGCCCCGTGCCGCCTGCCCTTCCCGCCCTCGGCCTGGTGGGGGGGTGGGGGGGAGAGGGGTTGCAGGTGAGGATTGAGTCATTGCTCAGGTGTGACCTGAGTGAGCGATGGCTTCCCTCGGGGCCTCGGTCTCCCCGTGTGCAATGGGAACCGCAGCCCGCGGTGTCCTCACCTGGCTGGCCGCTCGCCGCTGCTGAGGCGCCTGGGCCTGTGTGTGTTGCAGAGTACAGCATCTCGGCGGCCGCCATCTCCATCTTCAGCCTCGTCTTCATCATCATGGGGACCACCTGCGTGCTGCTGTCCTTCACCAACAGGCGGGACTACCTGCTGAGGCCGGCGTCCATGTTCTACGCCTTCGCAGGTAGCGGGGCCCTGGCCTGTGAGCCCGGGTTGGGGGGCGATGCCCCGGGTGAGGGCTGCTGCCGCCATCCTCCCTCCGGCCTTGCTGTCAGTCAGTCGGGAGAAATTCCCGGGCTCCTCCAGGAGCAGACTTGGTCAGGACTCATCAACGCTCGGCGGCGGGCCTGGGGAGAGGTTGGCAATGTGTCCATTTGATCCACACGGCACTGGGAGCAAAGCCAGTCACCATCCCGTTTTAAATTCATCCAAAACAACCCGACCCAAAGAAGGAAGGAAGCGCAGTTGAGCGGACCGCGGCAGGCGGGCAGGCGGGTGGGTCACTTTTGCAGGTGCCCACGTCCATCCCGCCCCGGGCGGCCTCCCCGCGGCCAGGCCTCCCCCTGGCCCCTGGGGGAGCCCCGGGGGGGGGGGGCGCGGACACAGGCCGGCGGGGCCCTGAGCGTCCCGCCCTGCCCCAGGGCTCTGCATCTTCGTGTCGGTGGAGGTGCTGCGGCAGTCGGTGAAGCGCATGATCGACAGCGAGGACACCGTCTGGATCGAGTACTATTACTCCTGGTCCTTCGCCTGCGCCTGCGCTGCCTTCGTCTTCCTCTTCCTGGGCGGCCTGGCCCTGCTGCTCTTCTCCCTGCCTCGCATGCCCCGCAACCCCTGGGAGTCCTGCATGGACTCGGAGACCGAGCACTAGGCCTCCTGACCTCCCGGCGACTCGCAGGGCTCCCTCCGCAGGGAGCCCGGCCCAGAACATTCTAGAGAGGAGGCGGGAGCGAGCGTCCCCTCTCTCCTGCTCCCACCTGACCCACGCACACTGCTGCCCGGCTCCTCCTCCCCCAGCGCCTCTCGGGCTGCGACAGGCTCCTGGGGGGTCCGGCAGGTGGGGGACGCAGACCTGCCCTGGGTGGGAGGGGGGTGGGGGTCCGGCAGGTGCACCGGGTCTGCAAAGGCCCACCTCCCGCTGGAGCCCATAGCTGTCCCCGGCGCCAGCTGCCCGCGAAGCTGGCTCCCGCTGCCCCGGGAGCCTCATCCGGGACGCCCTGCGCTCAGTCCCCGCGCGGTGTCTCCTCCGGGACAAGCAGCCAGCCCTGCTGTCCTCGGCGCCGAGACGCGCTGTGTGTGTTGAAGGCCCGAGAAGCCTTTCTCACGGGGCACTTTCTGACTGTGGTTGGAAATAAACGTTCTTTGAAAAGCGTGCTTTTTCCTGGTGTCCCGCTTAGAAAACGCCGGGACCCCTGCCTGCAGCCCAGGGGGGGGCGCAGGGACCCCGGAGGAGAAAGGCGAGGCGGTCCCTGGGCCTGCGGGGGGCGCCCGTGGGGACCCCAGGGGAGAGGGCTCCGGGTGCCCACGGGACTCGCCGTGCGGAGTGCCAGCGTGCACCCCCGGGCCCTGGGGTTTTCTCTGGCAGAAACCGGAGGCCGGGCGGCGGGGCGAGGGTGTTAAAAATAGGAGGGGTTATTTCCAGAGCGCGGCCGGCCAGGGCCCAAGTGCTAACACAGCAGCCAGGCCGCCGGCCGCCAGTGTCTGATATCCGACGCCGGGTGTCTGTTGCAAAGAACACGAGGAAGCGGGGCTTAGCTGTCAGACGCGGAGGGCGGTGACTCACACGGCCACGGCCACGGGCCAGCGCCCCGCTGTCCTCTCCCCGCCCTCGCCCTCGGGGTGGGCACACAGAGCCGGCCAGGGGAGGACCGGGGAGCAGGGAGGGAGGAGGGCGGGGGGCTGTGTGAGTCCGAGAAGAGGAAGATGACAAAAAGCTGAGAGGAGGGCTGGTCCACGTGAAACCCATCTGGGTTTGTTCATGGGCACTTATCGAAGCGAGCTCCTCTCCTCCCTCGGACCCGGGGACAGGCCCCTCTTTTAGGGTTTTCTCGGGTGGGCCCATGGGTGTGGGCCTGAGCTGTCGGGAACGGCCGGTGGAATCGAGAAGAGGGTCCCGCCGAGCCTGGCTCTTGAGTCTGGTCAGGGAGGGAGTCGGTCAGAACACAGCCGCCCGCCCGCCCTCCCGTGGCTCATGGCCGGCCCGACGGCAGCAGGAAGCAGCCAAACACAGGCCGGCTGGGCTTCTCATCAGATCCGACTACGCTGCCTCCCCTGCCCGCGCACTGGTCCCGTTTGGATCCAATGTTTTATTTACACGTTCATCGCTAATTCATATCCTGCCCACTCTCCCGAAAGATCCCAAGCGGGGACGAGGTATAAATAAAGCCGTGAGGTGCAACATTCCTGTTAAGCCCAGGGCTGGCGTTCGGCCGGGCGCCGCTGCCCTGGGCCTCGGGGGCCCTCCTTCCCGTCTCACTCAGTGCCGGCGCCGAGGCCTTAATTAATCCCCACCCACGGCATCGATCCTGCGGGCGCAGCCAGTTCATTACGGCGGCCGCCGTTTCCAGGAGCGAGGCTGTCTCCCCTTGTTGCTCCTGACGAGAATGTTTGGCCTCGACGGGAAAGAGCCAGCCTCCTGGACATTCTTGTTGATCTGGGATTAGACCCTGCCTCTCTGTTCACCCACAGCGCACAGCGCGGTCCTGCTAGCAGTCCCCCCCCCCCTCTCCGGCGCCCCCCCCCCCCACACACACACACACAGAAATGGAGGATGGGGGATGTGTCTGTCGCTACAACCTGAGAGTCCTGGGCTCTGAGCTTGAGGAGTTAAAGCCGATTTCCACGTCACTGATTGAACGGCCAACACGCCTCCCGCCCCCAGCCCGCCAGGGGCTGCTAACAAGGCCTTCTGGGGACCAAGGGGGAGTTGTAAAGCACAGTGAGCGTCATAAAACCGGGGGTGCAGTTTTACCTGGAGACGCCCAGGAGGCAGGGAGGTGACAGGTAGAACCTGCCTGATGGGGAGGAAGACGAGAAAAGGGACAGGCCACACAGCCAGGACCGTCCCAGCCGGGACAGAGGCGGCCAGGGATCCGTGACAAATGAGACAGCGGCTGTCCTGGAGAGGTGACGGGTGTGGCTGAGCTGACAGGGGTGCTCTGGGGCCACCCGCGAGGGGCCACTGCGATGCCGGTGTCCCAGGAGTGACGTTTACAGAGGACCCTGGTGGACTATGCCTCTCTGCCTCCTCACTGTCTCCGATAGTTAGGCGATGTCTCCTGACCTAAAGGGCACCTGGGAAGTGAGCCCAGACCCAGCTCCATCCTTAGCCGGGGAGCCCCCGCTGGCCTCCGTGCGCATAGCAGACTTCAGTTTATCCCAGCACCCCTCACTTCCTATGTCCCGGCCCACAGCCCCTCCACGGAGCTGAGCCTGTGCTGGACCCTCCGCGGAAGGGGGCCTCCCAGCCACGTTTCTTCGGCCTTCTCTCTGCATCCATGCCAACTCCCTGCCTGTGTTTCAGGGGCCGGGAGTTTTGTTCCGTGTTCGTCTTCGTGCGGTTCAGGCCTGGGCCCATCTGCGCAGATAACATGGCACAAGCAAATATCCCTCTGTTTGTCTTTCTGAGTCACAACGTTTGCTCATATTGTCCAACCGAAAAAAAAAAAGAAAAAAAAAAAAACCCGGGCTAGATTTAGATACCAAATGGCATCTGCCTCTGATAAATTCCATTTTCAAATGTTTGTTGCTTCTGCATACCGTGATTGCTCTAGCAAGCTGATTTTACAAGAAGCTACCATAAAATGTATATACGAGAGGTATGGAAGTAAAACATATACTTAATGTATTATACATGTAAGCCTTACATTTTTTTAGGTTCTAACATAACACTAAGGGTTTTTTTTTTGTTTTTTTTTTTCTGAACAAGGATTCTGTTGCTTAGATTTCTGGGAACCACTGACAATCCTCTGATCGGGTGACCTTCAAGGTCCTTCCAGCTCCTTTCGGTGCAGCTGATTTTGGTCAAAACTTGTAAGAGTTCAAGAAAGAAGGGACTCCTTGGAATGCATGTATCTTGCTTAATGACGGTGGCCAAGGAAGGCTGTAGAGGAAGGAAGGGACACGATCCAGACACAGGAACAGAGAGGTGCAGATGAGCTGTGTCTAAAGGGCAGAGGTCACCGGCGGAGACAGACGCTAGAAAGTATCCGGGAAGTAAGCGCCGTCCCTTTTCCGCGACCTCCACCCTTGCCTTTCATCTGTCCACTGGCAAGTGTCTTGAAAGAATTCTCTGCCTCTCCTGACACCCCTGATCTTGAGGGACCATTATTCTGTCCACCCCCCTGAGTGACCACACTGCGTCCTGGGCACTGTGCTAAAGTAGGACATGACTGAGAGGGTCAAGTCGGCGGTGTGCAGGCATCTCAGACGGTGATGGAAGAAAACTGAATTTATTTAAAGAAACTGGGGTGAGGGATGGGGATACCCAAAGGGAAGGGCTACACAGCACTGAGCCAAAGAGTACTGGATCCATGATGACAGCAAAAATACACTGAGGAGCCGAAACCAGTTTGGCTCAGTGGATAGAGCGTCAGCCTGCGGACTGGGGGTCCCTGGTTCGATTCTGGTCAAGGGCATGTACCTTGGTTGCGGGCACATCCCCGGTGGAGGGTGTGCAAGAGGCAGCTGACCGATGATTCTCTCTCATCCATGTTTCTAGCTCTCTATCCCTCTCCCTTCCTCTCTGTAAAAAAAATAAAAAATATTTTTTTAAAAATACATTGAGGACAGTGAAACCAGGAAGGACACAGAAGAGGCGATAGGAGAGCCTAGGCTGGGCTGCTTGGCTCACTGAGAAGTCAGAGAAAGGGGGGCTTTGGAGACAGGTTCAGGGGGTGAGCTTGGGACCAGCTGCCGCTGCCCATTGCTCCAATGGTTGCAAGTCTTATGGGGTAGAGGTTAGGGGATAGGGGGCTGTGGGGGAAGGGGAGGGGGAGGGGGTGGCAAGGGCATGCTCTTTGGGGAGAGAGTGCACACTGGGTCTTTTGTCCTGAGCGTATTTCTCTCTCTCTTGCAGGTGGAAGGCTTGGGGTGGGGGGCACGGCTCAGAGGAGTGTTTCAATCGAATATTCACCAGCTTCCCAGGTGTGCTCGTTCAGGGTCATGGTCTCCACTGACGGGTTGGCGCCAGGACAGAAGGTCATTAGTCAGTGCAGCTGGTGCTGAGGCGGCCTGGTTTAGCTGCTTTTCTGGGCCTACAGCTGAAATACAACTGAGGCCTAGATGTTAACTTTAGGGAGGAAAAGGGCAGGGGGTCTAAGCCGCATGACCAGGGATGTGGAAGGTCCGGGGTCCAAGCCACAGGACCCACGATGTGCCGAGGAGGATAGGACACCCAGTGTCGCCCCTTGCCAGGCACCCAGGGCTTTCAGCCCTGGTGAGTTTCTGTATCTGGCCCATCATCCTTGCTCTGCTCACGTCTGTCTAACGATAACGAGGAATCTACATTATGGTCCTGTCCTTTAGGAACTTAGCATTCCATGGCAGATGGTTTAAAAATAAATTATAACCAAAACAGGTTTGGCTCAGTGGATAGAGCGTTGACCTGTGGACTGAAAGGTCCCCGGTTCGATTCTGGTCAGGGGCATGTACCTTGATTGCGGGCACATCCCCAGTAGAGGGTGTGCAAGAGGCAGCTGATCGATGATTCTCTCTCATCGATGCTTCTAACTCTCTCTTCCTCTCTGTAAAATATCAATAAAATATATAAAAAATAATAAAATAAAAATAAGTTATGAGCCATGAGGGCGGGCGGGTTCCTCGGAAACACAAGGGGGCATGTGGTCTGCCCTCTCTGAACTGCTGAAGCCC